CCAAAAAAAAAAAAAAAAGTTATTTAAATTCTTATGCTTATCTGTTTGTTTCTTTGTTGCTCTGCTTTGTGTGTGAAGAACTATGTGCATCCCACCCTGGGAAGTGAATCCAGCTGTAGCCTTGTCAATAGTTTGGCTGCAAACTCTTGAAAAATCTGGAGATACAATCACCTATCCATGCCACATCCTAATCCCTCTCCCACAGAAACTATGTGAGATAATACTTGCTGTTTTAAGCTATCAACTTTTGGAATAATCTGTGTCACAGCAATAAATAGCAAATATATAATCTTTTACATGACTGAAAATGAGCCACAATTTACTGGGCATTTTGCTGTGACAAGTTGTTAGGAATAGGTTTTTGGCCCACCAACCATGAATGGACATATATTTCCCGGCACCTGAACACTTAACTGTCAACAATAAATACATCTTTTTGCTTAGAGCAGAGGTCAGCAAACTTCTATTTAAAGGTCCAGATAGTAGGTATTTTTTTAAGGATATTACACAGGTACTTAAATAACCACATAGCATGTATCTATTTATATGATTCTATTCTGAGCTTAAGGCCAGACAAAATAGGCCTTAATGTCAGGCGCTGGTGGCTCACACCTGTAATCTTAGCTATTCAGGAGGCTGATATCTGAGGATATCTGGGCAAGAAAGCCTATGAGACTCTTACCTCCAATTAACCATCAGAAAACTAGAAGTAGAGCTGTGGCTTAAAGTGGTAGAGCGCTAGCCTTAAACAAAAAAGCCCAAACCCTGACTTCAAGCCCTATGACCTATCCAAAAAAACATTGGCCTTAGCAGGGTCAAAGATCACCCACTGGCCAAAGATCACCAGCCCCTGGCCTATAATCTCAGTATTACTATGTTCCTTAATGTTCAGTTTGCTTATAAAATAGATATTAAATATGTTAATTTCTTTTCATTTTCATGTGATAGCTTTTTAAGGAAATTAACAAATATGGAAATTTTTACTGGTTCTTTGAAAAAGAATTGTGAAGATCTTGTAACCCAGGATACAAACTAGATATAGCTCCTTTTACCCTCATATTCCTATCCTAACTTCTCAAAACTTTTCAAATGTTCATTTTATTATTTAAATCTAAACAAAATGAAATGTGTTCTAATTTTTGTATTTGCTTATGTTTTTGTTTTTGTTTAGGGTTTCTATGTTGGCAAGCTGTAGTTCACGTAGCCTAACTAAGAAGCAACATACTGTCCAACCTTACCCTCTCGTTAACAGAGTTCCTATTGACAGAATTAAACATCTTCATTCAAGGATCTTCTCAATAGAGTCTGGCCTGCCAATCAAACTAAACACTGGTGTAAGCAGCATATTTTAAACATATACAAGAAAGAAAGATGTGGTTTAATTCTCAGAATTATGCTATCATTCTGTCAAGAAGTGTATGTCAACTTTCGCAGAGACTCAAGAAAAAAATATTTCCATTTTAGGCATAAAAGACTGGATCTGACCCAATTGTGAGGGCACAACTGTAATCCAGTCTTCAGGCCATTGTGGCAAGAGAATAATGAGTTGCAGACTAGCCTGGGCTGCATAGCAAGACCTTTTGTCCAAAAACAGTTTACACACACACACACACACACACACACACACACACACACACACACACGTCCTTATGAAATGTATCAACAACGTATAATATTCTTTTAATAGTAACAAAAGAATATAGATAAACATTTTATAAAGTACTCTTGAATTTAGCTATCATCAAAGTATCATGTGAAATAAGACTACTATGAGTTAGAGGTTGATTTCCATGATTCTTAACCTTGAGTCACATAGTAAAAGGAAGGATATTGGGCTGGGAAGATGGCTCAGTGGTAGAGTGCTTGCCTTGCATGCCTAAGGCCCCGGGTTCGATTCCTCAGCACCACATAAGCAAAAAGAAAAAAAGCCGGAAGTGGCACTGTGTCTCAAGTGGTAGAGCGCTAGCCTTGAGCTGAAGAGCTGAGGGACAGTGCCCAGGCCCAGAGTTCAGGCCCCATGGCCGGACCCAAAAAAAAAAAAAAAAGAGTATCTGGGTATGAGATTATTTTCATCTAGACAATTCCTTTTTAAAATCTGTTGTGCCAAATGAATACTTCACTAATGGTGGCATTTTCCCCACATTTCTCATCAACCTTAAGTTTTTAACATGGAAAAAAATATATATCATTTACATTTGGTACCTGTAGTATCTTAGGTTCTACTTTCAGATTCTTTTTAAGCCAGACACCTGTGGCTCATGTCTGTCATCCTAGCTGCTCAGGAGACTGAGCTCTGAGGATCGCAGTTCAAAGCCATCCTGGGTAGGAAAGTCTGTGAGACACTTCATCTCCAATAAACCACCAGAAAACCAGAAATGGCACTGTGGCTCAAGTGGTAGAGCGCTCACCTTGAGCTGAAGAGCTCAGGGTCAGCACCTAAACCCAGAGTCCAAGCCCTACAACTGACAGAAAAACAAAACAAAAAAAACCATTCTTTGTCATCTGTACTTTCTCTTTGTGCCATTTAATATCAAATCGTGAGGCATTTTAACTTGAAGCAAATTTTGAACATGATTAAAAAGTTAGGGCTGCCGGGTGCTGGTGGCTCATGCCTGTAATCCTAGCTACTCAGGAGGCTGAGATCTGAGGATTGCGGTTCAAAGCCAGCCCGGGCAGGAAAGACTGTGAGACTCCTATCTCCAATAAACCACCAGAAAACCAGAAGTGGCGCTGTAGCTCAAGTGGTAGAGTGCTAGCCTTGAGCTGAAGAGCTGAGGGACAACGCCCAGGTCCAGAGTTCAAGCCCCACGACAGACCAAAAAAAAAAAAATTAGGACAAAAATTGGGCCAGGTATAGTGGATCACACCTGTAATTCCAGTTACTAGATGGGCAGCAGTCAGGAAGTCCATGGTTCCAAGACAGCCCAAGTAAAAATTCATGAACCTCCTTATCAACCAATAACGCTAGGCATAGTGGAGCACGCCAGTCATTTCAGCTTTATGTGAAGCAAATATAGGAAGATTGTGGTCCAGGCTAACACAGAGAAAGAAAAAATACAGGATTCTATCTCAAGAATAACCAAAGCAAAACAATGTATATATTTGTGATGTACAACCTGAGAAAAGAGTATTGTTGTTGTTGTTTTGTCGGTCATGGGGCCTGAACTCTGGGCCTGGGAACTGTCCCTCAGCTCTTCAGCTCAAGGCTAGCACCCTACCACTTGAGCCACAGCGCCACTTCTGGCTTTTTCTGCTTACGTGGTGCTAAGGAATTGACCCCAGGGCCTCATGCATGCAAGGCAAGCACTCTACTGCTGAGCCACCTTCCCAGCCCTATTGCATTATTTTTACATAACACTTTTTGTGGTCAGTTGTGGGGCTTGAACTCTGGGCTTGGGCACTGTCCCTGCACTCTTCAGCTCAAGGAGCGCTCTACCACTTGAGCCACAGTGCCACTTCCTTTTACAAAACACTTTATAAAGAAAAAAGATTTTGTGTTTACCATTTGCTAGAAAGTAGTGTCAACATTAATGATAATGAAACTTTTAATAGTTGTTATGGGAATTAACCTGCTATATACAAAGTGAGGACAGGCATTGGAAATCATCCAAGGGTAGTAACATCTATTTGTCCCCTGTTAGCAGAAGGATATGTGGCACAAAAAAACATCTATGCCTGGGAGTCCCTCGGGACGGGAAAGTACTTGACAGCCCTGGCCATCTTAGGACCTTTGCACATTATCCTGCTTTTCCTTGTTGAAACCAATGTCTTCACAAAACTGAAAGCCAAGCTTTATGACTTTTGCAGGAAGAAAGATTTGGTGAGTAGGTCAGAGTGTCAGTCTCTAGGGAGAGGTCAGGGGTCTAGCTCTATGGCTTCCTTCCTGTGCTCTGTAGTTTCCTTGATTCTCAGCATCAGAGGGGGCCTGGAGACTTGTCTGGTCCAATCTTAGGCCAGAGAGGTGACAGCCCATACTCAAGGACCGTAGAAGGGAAAAACGCATCTGGCTCAGCACCTGTAACCCTGCTCAGCATGCTGGTCACCTGGAATGCTTTAAGAACCACCCTGTCAGCTGGCTAGACTTAAGACTAGACTTAAGAACCAATTGTCTTGTGACTCTTCCCCAGTTATCTGTGAGCCAGACCGGACACAGGTCTCTTCTATCAGCTCTTGGTGTGAATATTCTCCAGAGGCTTAGGTCCTCTGGGTAAAATACAGGAAATGATATGGTTGTATCTTGACATCCCTGGGCTCTAGAGTTGACACCATGTGACATTTGCATATTCACCCCATCATAGTTGTGTCAACATGAATTTAGTCTTGGATACTGGAGATCAGAAGGGACACCTTTGGGATTTGCAGGGAGTTTTTAGCCTTTGTGGCTCCAGTCTCTCCTTCCTGCCCTCACAGACAGCTGTATTTCTATCCTTATCTTGTGAATGTAGGCAATGGACCTCAAAGCAGAGTCTGAAGACCAAGATGTAGAAGAAGAGGTGGAAGTCATCAAGAATTATTTGGAAACATTGTGCAAGACAAATCCATTAGTTGTTAAAGAAGTGACAAAGGTAAAGTCATACATGGTTTTATTATGTATTTATTCATTTATTCAGACAGTATCTTACTGTGTAGTGTAGGTTAACCTCAGACTCAGGTTTAGATTGACCTACCTCAGCTTCCTAAATGCTAGAGTTACAGAAAAAATACTAGCATGACTGGCTCAAGATGTGGCTTTAGAAGCTCAAGGACCCTGTGCATATGGAGTCAGCCAGCTGGTAGGCTTAGGATGCCTGCAGTAACATATGAGCTTCCAATGGGGGTGAGGAGAATAAGTATGTCTGGGCTTAGTTACCCCCAGAGATAAGCAGCTCCATCCTCCACAGTCTCTTCTGTGGTCCACGAGTGCCCTAGGAAGAAAGGAGGGCTAGAAAGTGAGGCCTGACTGGTTGGACCTCTCCTGCTCTAGAACGTGATTGTAGAGAAAGCAAGGGGTAAAGCACAACCCCAGCTTCCTGAGTCTCCCTGATAATCCCAGGAAGAACTTTGAGAGGCCCTTTAACCAAGCACTTTATAGCATTTCCCCAAGATTTTAGTCCTATTGTTTATAGTTAGTGGTGTTTAAAGGGAATATTTTCCCTTTATCCTAGGGGAAAACCTGCCATTTTATTAAACCCTAGGCAACATAAAAAAAATTATTGGTTGAGTTTGGATGTGTGGTTCAGTTGGTAGAGCACCAGCAAAATACTGAGTTTGAGTCCTGGTCTCACAACAAAAAGAAATAATTTGTTGCGTCTGAGACAGAATGGGGAAGGCCTTACCTTAGGGAACTAAGTTCTTTAGATGCATGAGCAGCAGGAAGGGAGAAAGCCAGAGTGAGCCCTGCTGGGAGCAGTGTCTGAAAGGAGAAGGCAAGTCTGAGCCTGGCTACAGAGAGGTTACCTGGACCCCAAAGGCAGCTGGGACTTGCCAGAATACGTGTGCAGCTACCATGGCTGGCAACCTCCTCACTGGGTCTCCTGTCTGTGTATCCCAGGTCTATGATGTAAAGGTTCCCCTGCTAGCTGTGAACAAAGTATCCTTTACCGTTCAAGCTAAAGAATGCTTTGGCCTTGTTGGCCTCAATGGAGCTGGAAAGACTTCCATTTTCAAAATTCTGACAGGACAGAAGCCCGCCACTTCTGGGGATGCCTTTGTCAAGAGCCTCAACATCAGCTCTGAACTAGGGAAGGTGAGTGTGGCCCGAAAACAGACATGGGGATATGGTTGACAACAGGATTCAGGAGCAGGGAACTAGAACGGGCCTTGATCTCTCGAGCTATTTACCCAGCACTCTTTTTTTTTTTTTTTTTTG